TATTTTTTCTCATTGCTATGATAAAATACCTGGCAAAAACAATTTAAGAGAGAAGGTTTATTTTGGCTCACAATTTGCAGGTACAGTCTGTCATGGTGTGGAAAGTATGACAGAAGGAAGGTAAGGTGGCTAGTCACATAGCATCCACAGTCAGGAAGCAGGGGGACATGAATGTCTGATCATTTTCACATTTAATTCCATTCAGCATTCCAGACCATGGAATGGTGCCACACACATTCAGCGTCCTTGGTTAAACCTCTATAGAAAAGTGTTTACAGACATACCCTGAGGTGTCTCCTAGGTGATTCTCAATCCCATCAAGCTGGCATGCAAGACTGATACTAAATAGATTCAGTTGTAAGCAAATTTCCTGTAAGTTAAATCTTATGTTACTAAATAGACTTTTGATTAGCTGTGTAGAGTACTAGAAAAAAATCTAGTAAGTTTCTTGGAACTTAGAACATGTAAAAAATACTTTCTAGGTTTTCACAGGATTTAATAAAGATGTAAAATCACATCCGTTGTCAATATACATCAGTAATTCAAACTTATTTTTTATATTATTCATAACTCAGAATTCCAGATGATATTGCAGAAAAAATATCAGCATACTAACTGTAACCCAGTATTTCTTTTTGCTTAGTCTTGCATTTTAGTAGAGCAGTAATTAGAAAGCACAGCTGTAGTCTACTAATGACTAAGGCACAGCCTCCTTAGCACACATCTTCCCACCAGCAGGTTTATAGTTTGCAGCACAGCACATTGTAGGCCTTGTGTCCTTCCTGGGAGTTAAGGCTGTTGTTAAGCACAGTCAACAGAGAATGTTTCTCAATCTAGATAATTTATAACATGATTAATGTATGGCCCCTTCAACATTTCCACATACCTCTACACATCTAGGTGCATGTCAGGTGTGGCTTTTGGAATGATGTGGTAGATTTATGTTGGGAGCCAAAAGGCCAGAAGAAAAACATCTTTATGGCTTTGAGAAAAAGACAGCTTTATGTTTTCCTGCAAATCTTTATGGCCTTGAGAAAAAACAGCTTAATCGATTTCTGTAAGTTTCTATAAGATAGCACTTAGTTAAAGAATGTAGAAAAACAACTTTGTGACCCAGGCTAAGTCAGCCTTGAGAAATGTTTTATGCTCACCATGACAGTTAGCAGATGTTCCTTTAGGATAAGAAATGCCCCTTGAATAACCCTCCCTAGCTATAGCATCCAACAACACCAATTAGTGTCTGCCCAGCACTTTCCTTCTCCTCACCTCCCCCCCCTTTTCCACTACCAGTATATATGTCTGCTGCTTTCAAATAAAATTTTGGAGCTTGATCAGAACACTGCCTTGCTCTCTTTCTTCATGTTCCTTGTTTGTCATTCCTTCTAGGACCCCCACTGGTCACGCCACTGTAGAAGTGTCCTGCAGGTTGGGACAGATTTATTACCATGTTAAGTGTTCTGAAACAAGTCCTGTTATTTTAGGACAGAATGAAATGTGTCCATTCATCACTTTTGTATCAATTTATAGTATAAGTAGTATTTTTTCCAGACATAAAAAGTTATTTACAAGCTGCATAGCAATTTTCCTGAGGACCTTGCCAAACAATGCTTTCACAAAATGGAAAGAGTAAGAGGTATTTTTTTTTCAGAAGCTCAGTGTCATATGAGAGATCAGGGATAATTATATAATAAGAGAGCCATGGAATAGATAAGAAATCTGTGTGTACTTATGATATAGAAGAGCAACTCCAGGGCTGGAGAGATGGTTCAGTGGTTAAGAACACTGACTGTTCTTGCAGAAGACCCAGGTTTGGATCCCAGTACCCACATGGCAGCTAACAACTGTCCGAAACTGCAGTTCCAGGGGATCCGACAGCCTCTTCTGTCTTCTGCAGGCATTGCATGACACAGGTGCACTTACCTACATGCAGGCAATACACACATACACATAAAATAAAAATAATAAATAATTTTTTCTAAAAAAAGAGAAGAGCAACTCCAGTAAGAGAGGCTGATTAGCTACTTTTCTGTTGTTGGGACAGAATTCACTGGCAAAAAAAAC